ACCATGCGACTTGGTCGGCTATCCGCGTGTTTTGGAGCTGAGAGCACTTGTTTCCAATACTGTTCGGCGTCCATAGGTAGGCCGCAGTTTCCTTTGTATAAATCCCTCCATGACCCATCGAGTACAGAAGACGCTGCACCTTTCCGTCTTTGGTGGTATAGGGTCTGGATGGCGGCGTAGTTGGCTCGGCGGATCTGCTTTCGGTTGACTGGGATCCGATGGGCTAACTGACCGCGACGTCTGGAAGCAGTTTTCCGGGTGTGTGGAAACGTCCTGGAGGCATGGAGGTCCAGAAGCGACAGGGCTTGCTCCGGTGTCATGATGCCAGACTGCAACCCTCGGGCAAATGCCAGAAGGTCAACACTAGCAAGCGAACGGTCAGCATGGGATTCCAAGAGAGACACGGTACAATCCACGGATTGTTTAAGCCAGACGATGTAGTCATCGGCTTCTGATGAGTAGGCCGTCGTCTGACTGATAGTTTGCTCAGGTTCACCAGATGATGATTCGTCCTGTTGTGCTTGCCAGTTGAGCACCCGTAACCTGGTTTTGATGCTGATAGCCGATCGACCAGGAAAATACTGCCCCAATCTCGCAAACAGCTCGGTTCGCGTGCCACAAGATGGATATAAATTGTTAGCCAGGCTTAAGGGCGATTGTGACTCTTGCTGGGACCAGCGGGTACCGGAATACTTCACTCGGCCAAGCTTATCCGCGTTATGCTGGGTGGGGTGTGCGTGCCGGCGGTGTTGACTCAGGCCAAACTTCGTCGGAGAAATGCGGTAACAATTGAAACAGGCCAATTGGGCAACCGTGTTCGTACCAACACTTTCATTGTCGTGAACTCGATGGTGGGCTACCAAGCCAGCTTTCGATTTGCAGCACTTGCCACATTCCTCACATGTGAACCCAACGAGTCTCTCCTGTGTACTGGTTGGAACTGATGCGGAGGCGCCAGATGATTCGTAGTATACATTGTCGAAAGTAACCAGCACATTGAAACCAAACGGGGTGGTTGGCCCTGTCTGGAGTTGCTGAACTCCTAGCTCACCCAAACTGACGTCCAGGCTACCAGGTTGGCACCACGAGGAGGTGGTTCAGCTCGCCGACTAAGCCAGACCCGACGACTAACAGGCTCAGCAAACTAGCGCTTTACCGAGAAGCATAAAAATTGTCGAGAAAGATAAATTCGCGGTGAAAAAGCCGTATCCATGGGAGAATTCAACTAAACCCACCGGGCAGCAGCACTCTGGAGTACGGCTAATGGTCTGGTGGCGCGACATCCTATTGATATATTGCGGTGGGTGAGACACAAAAGGATGAACCCGCGTAGGAAAGACGAGGATAGCATTACAACGAAGTCAAAAGCTGTCACCCGCAGACCTAGTTGGTCTTCAACCGGATCTAGCCTTACAGTACGTGCTTCAGTTTGTCAATCACTCCCAGGCGTATTTTTCAGAGGCGATGGTTGAACCAGAGGACGAAGTAAACAGAGATTGCATTGGCGTAAGCGCACGAGTGATGTAGTGGCTTGAAATGACCGTATTCAATTGAAAAGTGCTGCTAGATTACAACTCACCCAGTTCAAAGGTAACTATTTCTCCTGTCTACCGTTGGACGGCGACAGCAACTGAAGTACAAGAACAGTTACCGCGGTAACGATCGTTTGAAGCACTTTCCTAAATGTAGAGGAGTTGCAGGCTTCCCTAGCTTAAAACCGACCGCATGTGGTTGTAATCATAGCAACCTGGTTGAGCATGTAATCTTCACTCCTTGCAACTGCAAACCTAGGTCACGGTATGTGTCGGCGTGAACAAGCTTGTGCTAACTGTTGCAGTGCTGCGGTTTGTGAAACGAAGTATTCAGATTAACCACGTGCGTGTTGTAGGCCCGAATTTCAGATGGCATTTATCCGAAGTGGAAGCTGAAGCTGAACAGTTAATTTTATTGGAAATTAACAGGAGGAGTTTCATTATTCACAAAAAGGACTGGTATAAACATGAAATTTCTACTTGAACCGAGAAGGACTGATCATGTCACTATTGTACTTAAGCTCGGATACTTTGAGTAGTTCTCCCGCGTCGAATCGATTTGGCAAGCCTGAAAATTTAATACACATTAAGTGAACCACACCCAACTGGACTTGAGGTGATTTTAGACCATTTCAGGTGATTCCGATGGGACGTGTGTGGCGAAAAGGCAAAGCAGACTTCCCCTTCGATTACGCATCGCTTGCTGAAGGCGAGGGAGCAGCACAAATTTGACGACGATTCCAAGAAGGCGGGAGTAAAAGGTGTATGGAAATATATGTATGTTTGTTGAGAACGCCTGAAAACGTACGATGGGTGAAAACAGGCGACGATCAATGAACTGGGTAAGTTAACCGTAGAATGATGCACCAGAAAGGAACATAGTTCGATTATGCCCACAAGTGGGCATTGGCGGGCCGTCTGTTTGCATGACGCACAGCTGTAATACACCGTGTGTTCATTGCATCCATTAGGTTTTGACTGAAATTCACAAAGAATGGGCACTTTAAATGCTTTGCGGTTCTACGAAACGAACCTCGTCGATTCATAACAACACAAGCGCATTTCACTTCTTTTTATTTAGACAAGTACCCTACCAGAGGATCCGTTTGCTTGATTAGCAACTTTGACACATTGAGATGATAGATGATCAACAGCAGGATGGCGCCATCGATTGTCGGACTTCCGCATCTGGATCAGACTAGGAGGTTTGTCCGTTCGATACATCTTTGAGTTCATCGTGCCATTTTTGAAGTAGGCAGACATTTACGGGTGTTGATCTTGACCATCATGAACTATATAAACGTGCCTGTAACATTCAGTAACAACAGGTGGGATCGCACAAGCTTTTGATAAGCTTCTAACGCCCCTCAGTTTCTATCTTCGTTACAGCCAAATTGGCTACAAGCGCTCGCACAGATCTTCTGTACCCTAGCGTGCAAGCCTTGTTCTGTGGTGCTCCTGCCCGTCTCTAGTATATACTTCCCAGAGTTTTGCAGCTACGGACCAGCTAAGGATTTTGTTTTGATTTAACTCCCTTCACAGACTTCTCGCTAATTCTTCAGAAAAATCATCCACCCAAATCCGCTGCAGGGGTCTGCTCTCTGACTCGAAACATCGGCCGAGAAGCCCTGTACTGCCCTCTAATACTCGTTTGCATAAGTAATTTATTGTCTTCTGTCTCCACCGTCATAGACAACGAATGTTCATGTCATAGTAGTAAACTACGGTCAGAATGTGGTCAGCTCCAAGCTAATTTTGCAAACAGACTACCTAGTTAGAGGGATGGTTACGTATCTGTCAGTGTTCAGTATTTTGGTAAATCCAGAGCTCTCGACATCCTAACAAGCGAATGCTCTAGAGGCACCGACGAGGACGTAACTACTCACAAATACACAGTAGTCTTCAGTTGACAACTGTTTTTCCATTATGGCCGTGCGGCTACTCATAGAAGCAGCGTGAGGCTAACTATCCCCAGTTAACACGATCATTTCTCCGGTGCAAATGGATCCACTTTGTCCAAGATAGTAATAAACATAGGGTAATATTACAACCACTCAACCCATTCAACTGCACACTGATGATGTCTCCTCGTATGGTGACGAAACGTTTGCAAGCCAGTTGCCAAGCCACCTGATCAACAACCAATAAACTCACCCAAGCTACCAATATTTCAACAAATTACCAACTATAACAAGTGGTTTGGGAAATTAGTTTCAAATGGAGATTGTAAGGCTGAGGATTGGGGAAAACCCGCGCTGGAATTCTTGGTGGAAAAGTCATAACAACTAACTCGCAGGACAAGTACGCGAGCCACATTAAGTGTATGGATTATTGATACACTTTCTCTTGCTCGTTTGGCTTCCGCCTCAAGTCTGTCTGATAGAATTACCATAAAAATGAATGCCTCAGACCAATCACGTCTCCACTGCAGAATTCCAGACCGCGTAGTCAGTCCATAGACCGTGCCATCCTATGGACAGCACGGTCTGAAAGACAGAAACCTCTGTAAATATGCTCACCTACTCCATATACTCAACTGGAACTGGGCTATCCGAAAACCCGTGCTATAGCGGTCAAAGGATGATGGGGGACTTTTAAGCCAAATTAACGGACAAGAAACTTCCGGTATGGCTGATTTTCCAGGCAGTGACCACAGCTCTAGTAATTGTGAAGTTTGTTTGATTTCCATTTACGAAAGATGTGACGAAATGTACTAACAAATGCATCGAGGTTCGGACCAAATTTGATTCAGATCTTGGCAAACCGATTGAGCGCCATGTGATACGTCCTATAGAAAGTTTGGAATCAAAAACAGTGTGGTGCAATAACTTGTTATAATCAAGCATTTCGGTTGTCGTGTGCAATCCTTTTCAAGGATTTCTACAATAAGTTGAAAGTGAGTGAGATGCAGCGCTGTTTGGTTTCGGTATCATGTCTTGTGATTGGTGTCTACCTGAGATCAATTAGTAGCCCGGTGCGACCAGCGTGTGTGGGTTCTGGCTTTGTGTGCGTTCTTTGACCAGGATGTGCATCCGTTTTCTGTTGTGCCGACTACGATGCGTCATCGTTGAGATTCTGGCTTTGTGTGCGTTCTTTGACCAGGATGTGCATCCGTTTTCTGTTGTGCTGACCACGATGCGTCATTGTCGAGATTCCTGCTTGAAATCTGACAAACGAGATTGACGGGATGCTGGATTCATCACTGCGGTTGATGTTGTACCGTTGTGCTTTGGCGCACGCCCGTTCCACCTGAGACTTGGAAACCGTTTGGAGTTGGTGACTTGACTCAAACGCATGAGGTGCAATGGCCGTGTCACGTTCAAGTTTTCTTAACTTGATTGGATTTCGTGGAGGAAACACGCATGTCGTTTGTGTTCTGTGATTCACACATGGAGTTGCCTGGCTGTCTGGCCTAAGTATTCGGCTGAATATTCTGCACAGGGAATTCGGTAGATGCGGTGTCGCTGTAAGTTGTTATTAAATCGGAAGCGTTTCATCATAGTCCCAAAAGTATCTTTCAAATGGCGCCTCAAACTCCGTTTCTATGGGCTATTCCCACGGTAACCACCGGGTTTTCATTTCCCTCTCACCGTTCCGGATAGTGTTCTTTGCAATTGTTGGGCAACGAACCCTATAGGGTATTTATTTTGCTGTAACACCATACTGTTAGTTGTGTATGTCATGGTTCTAAGGTTTTCGACCATCGATGCCTCGGAAGAGTGGCTGGTTTCGGATGGCGTCAGCGTGTCAGTAACGAGGCGATTAGGAAACGGGTATTTGGTTAAGCTGCAGGCACCTCAATCCGGGAAAACATCCAGCATCATCGACTACGATGGCT